TCTTTTTCTATTATCACTCCAATTTCCATCTAGAAATTCAAATTGAAATTTGAAATTTGTTGGTGGAGGGAAACCCGTTTTCTTGACCCGGTTCAGATATTTTACGGGTCATTGGCGGATTGTGTTGCTCAAGAGGCCCAAACAAAGTTCATAAAATAATTAAAAGCCCAACCCAAATGCAGGCTCGTCGAGAGATGTTTTAGTGGAAAGGAAGGAAGCCCAAACAAAGTTCATAAATTACAAAAATGCACACTTTTTTTCTATCATTAATTCCTAGCTTTGATTATTCATATATATTTTATCAATCCAATACAATAAAACATAAATTAAAATATATAAATTGAACAAGATTTGTCATCTCATTTGTATTTGCCTTGCTAAATTAACTTATATAGGAAGTATTCTCCTTATATATCACATTACAAGGTCAATAGTTTAACCTCACACAATAAAACGATAATCCGTGGTTCTCATGTTAGGATGTCTAATATATATGAGTTATACTATTATATCTGTAAGAAACAGAGAAAAAACCGGTGCGGTCCTGTCTAATATATATGAGTTATACTATTATATTTATAAGAAACGAGAAAAAAACGCACCAAAACAAGAAAAACTCAGATGAGTATAGTCCAAGTAAGATTTCATCCCAAACCCAATCGGTGGAATGAGTAGCCCATTGAATTTATAAATTAAGTCTATTTTTCTCTATATAAACGATGTGGGACAATTCACAAGCGAGTATTCTATTATCATCAAATATACATACTTTTATATTCGAAACAAATTAAATAGAATATTAATAAAAAAAAATATTACATCATGGGAAATTGCAAAAATCCAACTTAAAAAAAAAAAAAAATGTCTTTTTTCAAAACCTTTTTCTCTCTAACTAATGTGGCCCGGAAAACAAAGGCAAAAGAGATGTTGATATGCATCAACTGTTTAATGAGAGTGTTTGGTGAAGTGTCAAAGTGAAGGAAGTCTTTTCAAATTGCTACTCACTCGCAAAACTTTGCATTTTATGTGCCCTACACGTCGAATAGAAATTAAAAGATATAAGAAGATGCATATATAAATTTTGCAATTAATCCATATCATTCATTTTTTAAGCTATCAATTTGAAACATTTTTTGCCTTTGAGCATATGCAAAAGTTATCCCTAGTACTTACTGATAAGGTCCCGTTGCGGAACCATTTCATTGTGATTTGTAACCGTTAGATCAACTATCTCCGACGATTACATGATAATCTATTTCTTACTATTTGTTTAATAATATTGATTCTCAAATTTCTTTCGTTTTATGAACTCAATCAAACTATTTATTTTTTATTTTTTTTATTTTTATTTTTTGGCACCGTTATTTCCATATATTTCCCAAAATCTAAAGTTAATTTATTTGCTCAAATCAAATGATTCAATGCAAGCAAGCGTCAAAAGTCATGGGGGCACGCCACATGCAATCATTCGATGCTAACTTTGATGCTAACTTTTATAACTTTTATTTATGTACCAAAAAAAAAAAAGCAGTAATGTTTCTCAATACACCGTGAACACGTGTTAATATATCAATTGCTTATATGGCAAATGCACATTGATGATGTTAATATGTTCAAAAAAATACGTCACCAATGTGTGCCGCATAAGCAGTGGACATATTAGCATGTAACCACCGTGGGTAGAGGAGCATTATTCCCAAAAAAATACATAAATAAATGTATAGAATTATTTATTTATTTATTTATTTTACTGAAATTGTAATTAATTAGTTTAATTAAATGTGCACAAATTAAATGTGGTCC